ACGTGGTACAAAACATTTTTCAATTTTGCCTTGAAAACTGGGTAACAAATCACGTCAATGTTGCCCGGTTGTCAAGGTCGTTGCAATGTATGCGTGACATCGTAGTAAAACTTTGCAGATGACAGCTTCTTGCAGCATAGTGAAAACATACTAATTCATTTAGGCCTAACTACATACAATTTGCACGATCCCATAAAATGAATGTGGACATATCTTTTGCCGTAAGATTTCAATTAGTCAATAATGAAGAGCTGCAGTGTTGTTTAGGCAGTAGGACCTTGAAGGCGACAATTTTTTTTGCAGCAAATGAAACCACGCTGATTTATTTAGGCTTTACAAACAACGTCAGAAATCTCCCCAGCATTCTAGACAAATTTTGTGCTAAAGTTAAACAGGTACGTTCTTTATACATTTATTAGTATGGTCACATGCTTCATTATTGATTCTTAAAATGAAATGCAAATCTTCAATGAAATGTTAAACTTTAAAACTTACATTTAGGCCCGGTTATGTAGACTAAGTATACTATGTGACAACACTAATTCATTAGATTTTAGTAAAATTGAAAACAGAATGGGGGGAGGGGTAGAATAAAACAATGATTGACTGGTGACTTAGGGCAAAAACAAAAGAATCACTAATAATAACAACAAATGATGTTGTTCCTTTTTTATCCTAGCTATTTTTCCCCTTTCCCAAGCTTCCCCCTCTTCCCTGTTTTATGTTAACAAAATTTTAGGGGCCCGGCACGGCCATGTAGTTACGGCACTCGACTTGCAATATGAGGGTCGCGGGTTCGAATCCCAGTCAGACCAAACATATGCTCGCCCTTTCAACCGTGGGGACGTTATAATGTGACGGTTAATCCCACTATTCGTTGGTAAAAGAGTAGCCCAAGAGTTGGCGGTGGGTGGTGATGACTAGCTGTCTTACACTGCTAAATTAGGGACGGCTAGCGCAGATAGCCCTCGTGTAGCTTTGCGCGAAATTCAAAACAAACAAACAAAATGTTAGGCATGCAGGATGTACCAACATTTTCGTCAGAGGCTCAACTTCATCGTGTTACTCGATTTTAATGGTTGATAATCAATTTAAGTCAAGTTTATGTTTTATTTCGTTAGTTGTTATAACTTTCTCTTTGAAGATTTGTTTATTCTGCCATGTTTCGTTCGAATGCACATTATTTCAGGGCAGTACGGTTTTCTTTACCTGTAATTTACATTTATGTCACCAACATATATATGTAAGAAAGCAAATTTGATTCCAGAAATTTTGCTTTCTATAATATGGGAGAAAGTGTGAAACCTGCTACTTGAAGAAGTAGCGAAATATTCTTACGCACATCTTTCAGGTAGTGCCCGCAAATAAGTGGAGGTCCGAAAAGATAAGTAATACGGAGTTTATCTAAGTTTGAAGAAAGAGATCAAACACAAAATAACAAAAAGTAAAAGTAATATTTATTTGTTCAAATCAATCAAAGAAACAACAAAACATGACGATAAACAATGCCTTTACTTTATATATCTCGCTATAAATTAGTTTACCTGTTCCAGAATAAGACCTGTGATTAAGATTGAAACTTGTGAAGAACTGTGTTAAAGACTAAGAGAACACAGAATACAGCATTGTATACAACATTCTATAACGCTATTTCTATTTTCGCTCATCCCCCCTCTCCATTACTGATGGCAATTTTAATATAAAATAAGGGATGATATATCCATAAGATGTCACCTAACCCATCAGCGTGAAAGATCACTGTCCTGGTTTACAGCAATTACTTTACCACCTAAAACCGCACGTGACACCATAGGGAAATAAGGAACTTGGCCACTTTCCATGACCAATATTTTATTGTTAAAACAACACAAGCTGGAAATGTGTATGTGTAAGAACCATCGAAAGTTCTCAAAGTTAAAACGTTCACCTTACTAAGTAAAGAAGGTAATAAATAGCAGGTATGCGTCTGTACCACCTGGTGCTGTTGTAGTTGTAAATCTTGTCTCTTGGAGAAGTAGTAGATGTGTTAGTGGAAGTAACTATAATTATGGCTGTGGATAGAAAGTAGGTGTGAATCATTCCACATGATGCAGTAGTAGGTGTGAATCA